CATTGAGTCACAATCATGCGCACACGCAGTGTGACAGGCACGCGCATGAGTCACACCCACATGCACACACGGTGAGTCATGCACATGCACACACACAGTGAATCACACGCACACACAGTGAGTCACACCCACACATGCACATGTAGTGAGTCACACCCACACATGCACATGTAGTGAGTCACACCCATATGTGCACACGCAGTGTGTCACACCCACATGCACACGCAGTGGGTCATGTACACGCACATACGCAGTTAGTCACACCCACATGTGCACACACACAGTGAATCACCCAAACAAACACACGCACATGTGCACATTCAGTGAGTCATGCACACACGCACACGCATTGAGTCACGCAAACGAGCACATGCAGGCAGTCACGCACACGGGCACACACAGAGAATCACAAACACACACACGCACAGTGAGTCACCCAAACACACACACGCAGTGAGTCACCCACACACACGTGCACACATGCAGTGAGTCACCCACACACACGTGCACACATGCAGTGAGTCGCACACACATGTACACACGCAGTGAATCATTTTCAAGATGTGCAATCTTAGTTTGAAACCTAATTTTCTTGTGCTAGAAAATCAGTTGTGTGTGTCAGCATGCATAGGCTGAAAAGGAACAAATATGGTTTATTCCATGCAAAAAGTGAAAAAAAGAAACACAACGTTTTGGCTGTTGAGCCTTCTTTGGGTGTCACACCCTTTGGAGGGAACCCTGCACTGATTTAAATAGCAAACTCATCTACTGTGCTGTGCTGTATTGTATGTGTTTTAGACCATCGGTCTGTTTATTTCTGTAGTTTTGGGGAGATGCTGGCTTTTACCCTGACAGCTTTCCTGGAGCTGATGGACCACGGCATTGTGTCCTGGGATCTGATCTCCCTGTCCTTCATCAAACAGGTGAGTGAGCTTGTCTCCTCTGCCACAGGAGCTGGTGCCTTTGGCTGCACATGGGGGCAATAGCACCAGTCCAAGGCAGCATGTCTGAGAGTTCTGCTGTATGAACAGCAGTACATGGGGACAACAGCACAAATAGAAGGCAGCATGTGTTTGCTGCGTGTTGTCTGGGAGTTCCGCTCCATCCTTACAGAATGAATTCTGTTTGATGAATAGCACTGACTGTTATGTTTTAACATACTACTAAAAAACTCCTGCAATCATTTGCTGAATAATCTTGATATTTAAATCACGGATCAAAGATGGCTCATATATTGTTGATTGCGAGTGATGCCATTCTTTTTGTTACGATAACCTTATCTGTAGAAATCTATGCAGTTGTCGTGTCTTGTCTGAAACATGGTATTCTCTTCCATACAAAGCATCTACCCCTTCTATAACCATGTTAAGCATCCAGAGGGATCTGTGCCTCTTTTTCAGCAGTGACCTGTTTTTTATTAGATGGCCCCAGTGCAGGTACATTTTCTGACATCTGATAAGGTTGGGCTCCAGGAGGAAGGAGGAAAACCTAATTTCCTGACACAAAGGTAGCAGTTCACGATAGGAAGTGTTTTTGGAGAGGAATAGGAATAGGAAGTCGGAATTCTCCTCTGATAACTGTATACATGTTATCCTCATATCTTGTTACTTGACTTTAATCACCAGTCTTCATGTCTTGAAAACTGCCGTCTTCACTGTTAAGGCAATATGACAGTAAATAAACTTTACTGAGAATACGTTCAGTTTTGGCAATCATAGAACAGTCCTGCAGAATTGCTGTGTCTCCTACTTTTCTGAAGTATTAAAGAAATATTACTCACTTACTGTTCGCTAAGTATCAATTAGGCAGTGTTTGCTTCACAGAGATGTCCTTTCTGTGAAAGCAACTTCTGATTAAGCTTTTGTATGATTCATGTTACAATGGGTCATGCTGCAGAAAGACTTGTATCATATTGCTTTGAATTAACTAACAGCGTGTGTTTAAAATGATCTAAAACAGATGCTGGGCTTGTTCAAGTGTGGTGCTTATTTGTCTGTATTTGAAGTACTGTAATTATCAGGTGACATCAGCCTAAAGCAGTGGTGAATGCATGTTGCAAATATACTCATGCCCCCTAATTTTTTAAGTAAAGAGTTTTGTTATACAGGTGCTGGCAAATTAAGGTAATATGTGTTAATGGTGTTAGAGAAGCTGTTTACTTAATACATTAAAGGTAGGAGTGGCTATTTGCAATTAATTGAATTCAGGGTGTTTTGATTTTTTTCAGAAGTGTTTACTATCCAGAAAATGCTTTGTATTTTCCCAAGACTCTGCAAACACAAAGACAGTCATGGTTTTCTTTATCGTCTTGCCTTTTACAGATTTTATGTTGATGTGGTTTCCTGACAGAAATATCAGACAGAGAAACAAGCATGTTAAATAAATAGCGTATCTTTAAAAAACATTGTTACATTTGAAGTGTTTAATTAACCAGTGGAAGGAAGGTGAAAAGCTGTGGAAAAATATTGTATTAGCCTTGATGAAGATAGTAACTGAAACCTACAATATTTGTCTTTGGTCTAAAAAATAAAGTAGTGGAAAATGAACTCTTGTATGGGGATTTGTTTTCTTGATAAATTAGTCCCAGCTGTTTAGAAAATAATTCTCTTTTGAGCTGTTGCTCACATTTACTGTTTTTCGGGTAATCAGAAGTTTGGTCTAAATTTAGTGGAGAAGAGGAACTGGAATTCTCCCTAGGTACTGTACAGTTCCAAGTTAACAGGCCAAGTATTATCACTGGTGGCAGGAGGTGTCTTTACTGCAACCAGTGTGACTCCTGATCACCTCTTGCCCAATGGAACTGAGGCGGAGAGCAAGTTAACATCAACGGCCCACAACCCACTCTACTGTATAACTAGTCATATCTCATAACACCACTGATCTGTCCCTTCTGCCGAAGGCATCTCTTCTGTCTCTTTTCCCTGTCAGCCCCTCTATGAGCAAAGCTGTCTCTTTTTGCTTGTTCATCTGCAGCTGTTACTCTGTTCCTGCTGATCGCTCTACCACTTCATGATCCTTGCTCTCATTCACATTATCCCCTTCACTTTCACGAGACACAGAAGAAGCACGCTGCTCCCTTTCCTCGCTTGGGATGTGCTGTGCAGACGGTGTCTGTCTAGCAGCTGAGGTGTCGCTGTTACCATGTTCTTCATCGGATCTTCTCGAGCCGTGTCTCAGCTCTCTGGTGCCCCCTGGTTTCTCTAGCTCGTCAAGCTCTTGCAGGGGATCCCAGCTCCTCACCTTTTCATTTCCCTCTAGTGTTCTTTCTGCTGTGATTGGGCCTGGTAAACAGGATACACTTCCGTCTGCCTGTACAGCCCCAGTATGATCCCTAACCATGCAGCTTGCAGACTCAGTTTGTCAGTTAATACACTCCACAGCACAGAGCCCACTCATTCCTTCTCGCACGCCTGATCCTGATTGGCCAGAGTCGCTTCGCCATGGAAATCGTCTGGCGCTCCTGACAGACTTTTCCCTCTCTGACTCTAAGCTGACTGATAGCCTCACTCTAAGCGGCTCTATTCTAAGCCTCCTTATTAATTACAGGGGCGTTTTTAATTCCATGTGAGCTATTCCAGACTTATCCTCATGTGGAATTCCACACTCTTTTCTCTTTGATTGCTCTGGTTTGATAAGGCCCAGGTGTAGCCCAACCAGGCGACTTGCCTTCTAAGTAGCCGTTGTGACACAATTACAGTATTTTACAGAGGCACACCTACTTTAAAAATGCTCCACAAATGATTGTGAAGCTTCATGATCTGCAAAATATATATCCCCATATGTAGAATCCCACCTAAAGTCTCTTCTTAAAGCATCACAACCATGCCTAGCTTTAAAGCATAGTAGATCTCTAGATTTTTATTTTCTCTTCTTGTATTTGTAATATTGTACCAGACTGGAATTTCCTGTATAATTCAATGTTTTTAGCAAAACTGTTTCTTATACTTGCAAGGTCCACTTTGGAGTCAGTCTTAGGTCAGCCTACAATGCCACTAAGATGCTATACCCTGTTGGGTTATTGGCCACTAGGGGACGCTGCTGCATTGTGGTCCCTCCTCAATGCTCTGCCCATGTTTTTTGCCATACCGCTGTGTGGTCTTTCCTGTCAGTGTTTTATCAGGTCCTAAAACCTGAAAACGATGGGTTCACACAGCAACCTGACTCCACCTCAGAGTCCTGGAGGAAGTCCCCATTGTGGACTTTAAGGCTTGCATGCCATGTCTGAAACCTCAGGGAATGCAACACCTGGCCGCCCGTTTCCAGACAGTCATTCGGAAACGCCTCTTCATTGAGATATTCCGCTGTTCTGCACGGTGTGCCCTCCTGGTGCGTTTCTGGAGGGAACACAATTTGCAGTGAACAGGGAACGTCAGGTTATTTCAGAACCCATACAGCCTGACAGAGACCAGTACAACCACACTTACAGATTGCTCAGCTGATGTCCAAGCCGGTTAAAAATAGTGGGGAAGATGTCCACACTGTGCTCTGTGATTTACTGGATGGCACCCAGTGTGCAGTGTGCTGAACAGGCTGGTGGAGGTACAGAGCTGGAACATTAAGGTTAAGATGGAGCAATAGCAAATTGGGGCACCATTTTGTGGAACCAGAGGTATGGAAATTGCCTACTGTTGAGGCAAGGTTATAACATCATTGTTGTCAAGACTGGAGACTTCTGTGATTTCTTGATGATATTTTATGTTTCATTTTTGCTGCATGCAAAATACTGTGATAAAACACTAACCTTTTAGTTCAAAAGAGGTTGTATTATTGTGCTTCTTTCAACTTGTTTGACTATCCAAAACTTCTGATCACTTAGCAATTTAAAAGGTGTTCTTCCCCTTTAAAAGCTAATAACACAGCTGGGATGCATTACGACTGGCAAATTAAACATTTGTCATAAAATGCAAGTGTTCAGTAACCATTTTTAGTGCTACTGCTACTAAATTAAGTGATTCAAGGAATTTCTGAATTTATGATACATCCAGACACATGCACACAGAATAAACAGCAAATTAATAGACAATTAACACAATTACATAACTCCCAAATTCTGGTCAGTTTGAGAAAGCAATTAGCAAGTGTCCTGAGCTGTCCTAAAACAGTTCACCACTTCTGCCCCAAAACATATGCAAGAACACAGAACGAGTGTGCTGTTACTAGAAATGTATAACTTCCTTGAATGGAAAACAGCACAGTTTTAATAACTTATCCAAGTATTCTGTTGGGCATGCCGCCATAAAAATAAACATCTAATTTTCCTCATTTCCATTTCTTGGTTATCCTCTACCCTTTCTGGTATTTATGCTTGTTGATGTATAATGTATTATCTGACCTCTCCATGGATGTTTCCCTATTGAAGGTCTATTGTTTCAGTGGTCAAAAACAATTGTATCAAGTCTTTGAAAATGTATGCTTCCAGGGTGAGTTGTAAGAGCTGCTGGACTCTGGCCTTGCAGGACCATGGTAGACCACCCTGGTGTGTAAGAAGACACACGGCTATCCACAGGTTGCTTGAAAGGATTTGTCACATTTTACAGTGTTAGATCTTGGGAGTCTACTCCATACCACAGTAAAGCTGTGTCCTGTCATTGTAGCCCTTAATCTGACATAATCTGTGTAATCGGATACCCATGTCCCAAAACCTCCCTGTATTATTACAGAAGCATGTCCACACGTCTTTTATAATAGAAAGTTTAAAGGTTTTCCCAAGAGAAACTACCTTTGATGAAATGTTCCTCTACTTACAAAAAAAGATTTGTAATTGAACCCAGGCTTTGTTGTCTGTCTGCAGACAAAAGAGCCTGTATTTAATTAGCATATTCGTAATTACATAACCACATTAAAGACAATCTTTGTAAGCTTGCAAATGGATGAAAATCCTTACAATCTTAAATTAATTTTACCCAAGTGATGTTTCACGTTT